CATGGATGGGTGGGGACATGGATGGATGGGGGACATGAGGCGGGAGAGAGACACGGATGTGTGGGGGACATGAGGGGGAGAGAGACACGGATGGGTGGAGGACATGAGGAGGAGAGAGACACGGACAGGTGGAGGACATGAGGGGGAGAGACACGGATGGGAGGAGGACATGGGAGAGAGATATGGATGGGAGCAAGATATGAATGAAATGGGGGAAGGACATGGATGGAAGGGAGGAGAGACATGGAAGAGGAACAGAGAGATGGAATTTGGAGAGAGACATGGATGAAGGAGGGAACGAGATATGGATGAAGGGTGGACATGGATGGAAGGGGAACAGAGAGATGGAAGAGTGGGAGAGACATAGAAGGGAAGGAAGGGGGATTGAAGCGGAGAGTGATGGGTAAGTCCTGGGTGGTGGAGCAAGTTCCATGAGTGTAATCTCAGTGTTGGGTATGTCCTGGGTGCTGGGACAAGTCTTGTGAGTGCAATCTCAGTGCTAGGGCAAGTCCTGTGAGTGCAAGCTCAGTGCTTGGGTAAGTCTTGGTTGCTGTAGCAAGTCCTGGGAGTGCAATCTGTGTGCTTAGGTAAGTTAATATATGCCCCCACTATATACAAAGGGTTATGTCTCACACACTGCCCTGATATATACTCTTGCACAGCGCAATTCAAATAACCTTGTGTACATATATATTGCCCTGTGCATGGGGTATATATCAGGGCAATGTGTGAGGTATAGCCTTGTTTAAATACTGGTGATATATATTGCCCTGGGAAGGGGTATATATCAGTCATATCTATAAATAATAATACACTCTTCAAATGTACTTTTAAAATGCATGGTTACCCTTTTGTAAACAAGAGTATAGTGTTATAAGATGGGGCTGGTATAATGACGCAATGCTATGGGCCTGCTTTTGTTTCCAGGACTGGTTTTTATCCCCAGTCTGGCACTAATATTGTAAAAAAGAGAAAATCCAGCGCACTCCCACTAAACAGCAACTTTGGTGCGGACAGATTTTTTTATTTTTTTAAAAAAAAACTAATCTAGGCAAAAAATAATGGGGGTTTAGTTCCATTATATGATTATACATTGCATAATCCTGCCACAACGTCAATGTACCCCATCTTTGGCAGGTCCTACTCTAACAGCCTAATGTCTGCTTCATGAGCTACTTACTTGCGGAAACAATTCCATCTGGAGTTCTCTGCAGTACAAGGCTAAATAGGGCCCTGGAATGAGGTACCTCTGACAGGGAGGGGTGCCAAGCCAAGGAGTTGGCTAGACTCCTAAATATATATTTATGCATGTTCAAGTTAAAATATAACTTTTATTTCTTACATTAAAAGAAGAATGTAGATGCCATAAATTGTCAACGTTTCAGTCCCAGGTCGGGACTTTCCTCAGGACAGCATAAAATTTGTTTGCACTGGAGACCCTAGGTACGCCTCTGGTCCTTCTAGTGGTAGACAGCCACTAGAGAAGAAGTTAACCCTACCAGGTATTTTTTGCAGCTTATAAAAACTGCAATAATTACATGCTCAGGGTTAAGGGTGATGGGATATTGTAACCAGACCACTTCAATGAGCTGAAGTGGTCTGGGTGCCTTCAGTGTCCCTTTAATTTGAATTAATAAAAGGTTTATCAAGAACTAATTAACTGCTGTAAATGTTATCATCAGGAATATATTTGAGGCACTTGCCAGGATGAAGGGGTTACTGTTGATGAGAAACAATTATCAAGTCTTTCCATGGTCATAACTGGATTGAAATCCAGGCTTTGATTAAGCAGTTTTAAGATATTTTGTTTTTAGGGGGTTGCTTTTTTTTTAGCCACTCCATTTTCCTAGCAGAAAGCAAACTCCTACCCCACTTGTAGGTATTTTAGAGACCGAAAGAGGTTTTCCTCTTGAATTGACATTTAAATGGTTCCATCTCGTTACCCCTCAATCATAACCAGTTTCCCAGTCCTAATGAAAACCACTTCCTATCACTACTATGCTTAACCATGGAAGTGGTGTTCTCAGGTTGCTCACCAGTGTTGACTTTGTGCCACATAGGCAGGTTTATTCACTAAAGTGAGGATTGCTGGAAAGTAAATTTCAATTTTAAAGCCAATCTAACCAAGCTGAAACCTGAATTGACTAAGAATTTAAAGGATTATTCACTAAAGTAAAAAATCTAAGTGAATTTTCAATGTAAACGGTTGCTTCAACCCTTTTTGGTTACCATTTATTTTACTTAGTAATACCTTCCTTCAGAGTTAAAAAAAGAAAAAATGGTCACTCCAGACCCCAAAACAACTTTAACTTGCTGAAAAGTTCTGTGTGAATAGTGTGTCCTCTTTTTGTTATTTTGCAAAAAGTGCAGATTTGAATAAAAACTGACACTTTTATAAATTAAACTACTTACACCCCCTTAGCTTTCAAACAGACAACAGGTCATTTTACTTTGTGGTTTGCTTAGCTCAGTGGAGCTAAACTCAAGAGTCAGCAATTGCTCAGAGCACCTGCCTTGCAGAGACTTCTTTCTGAGTTGTATTAGAAGTTTGCAATTGGACAGCCACAGAAAGTCTGGGTGGGGTTAAAAAGGATGGGATTGCAAAGTCAGCAGACAAATGAAATTTAGGTTTTGCAAACTGTTTTTAGATTTACCCCAATGAAAAAAATGCATAATTAAATTTTATTTGGGATAAATCTATTAAACAGTGATGTTTATTTTGTATATGGGTAGTGGAGTGTCCCTTTAATTTACCTGGAGTTCCCTGTGCTGGTTTCCAAGTCCCATCTGACGTCGCAACCTCTCTCACATGGTTCAATTAAATGCTTCTGAGTGGGTAAGGGGAGTAATCGGGGTTGAACATGTGAGGGGATTTCTTGAAAACAACACAAACAAAAAATGGAAGACTAAAGGGATAGGCAGGAGAGGATGGCTTGAAGCTATGATGAAGGAAGGAGGGAGGGGAGATGAATGCTTCCCCTTGCATGTGCTGCCTGCAAGTGCATAAGCTTTGTGTATTTGTCGTCTGCGTGCACCGTGCAGTACATACAGAGTCAGCTGTGTTTTCAGTTTGGCTACTTCGACTTTAAATTTGAAAGCCCAAAAGGTCTTTAGTGAGTCCGCCCACAAGAATGCAGTGTGTGTGTACTGAATGTTGAATGTGTATACTGGATATAGAATGTGTATGTAGTGGATAGGGTGTGTGTATAGTGAATGCAGTTAGTATGGTGGATGCAGTGTGTATAGTGGATGTAGAATGTGTGTGTAGTTGATGCACTGTATGTAATGTATGTAGTATGTATAGTGTGGAGGTGTGTATAGTGGATGCAGATTGTATGTTTGTGTAATGGATGCAGCATTTGTGTGTATTTGATTCAGTGTATGTAGTGGTGTCAGAGTGTGTGTGGTGGATACTGAATGTGTATAGTGGATGCAGAGTTTTTTTTTGTGTAGTGGCTGCTGTTTATAAAGTGAATTCAGAATGTATTTGTGTAGTGGCTGTTGTGTATATAATGAATGCAGAGTGTGTTTGTGTAGTGGATGTGGTGTGTATAGTGAATTCAGAGTGTGTGGATACTGTGTGTGGATGTGGTGTGTGCAATGTTGTGTAAAATAGTTGCTGCATTCTGTGGAACAAAAAAAGTGCTTTTCTTTTTAACATTAATTTTAATAAATTTTGTTTTATTCCCCCTTCAATGGTCCAGTGACTTTGTGCAGGCTGAGGCTTCCAGGCACTGTATATTGCTCTCTCTCTCTAACTCTCAAAATAACGGTTTGCGTGCCACACAGAGTGTTGCTCTGATGCCTGAAAAGGCTCATGTGAGTTGAGCACTATACAGGCATCTATGTATGTACACATTAAAACTCTGAAACCCATATCCCATTCAGGATGGATAGTCTGGGCCCCAAACACCGCCTGCCCATGACAACTGCTTTGAGTTTTGATTGATTGCTTTTTCAATGCTGTGCCTAATTCTTGCATATTTTTATTAACAGATGTAACAATGTCTCCAAAGAAGGAGATGAGTCTCAATAACCAAACCCTTGATGCTTATTCTGGAATTTATCATATTGTATCCTTGTTTTCATGATCTTCATGATGTTGTTTGCTAAAATATTTTCTGTAACAAAGTGTGGAGCTTAAGTGGTGCCTTTATTTTGACTTCATGTAAAATTTTAATTGCATACAGGTAAACTCCACTCACTTAATTATTTTACTTCTGGAGGCAATTGGTTTCTACACATCCCTCCCATAAACCCTGAATCATCCTCTTTTCCATACATCATCTTTAAAATGTAAAATCCTTGGGCAGTGAAAATAACATGATTTCCTTCACTGTTCCTTGGGACAAAAGAGTGCCTTTTATCAGTATTGATGATTTTCACAGCATTATATCTATATCCAGGCTGGCTGGCCGGCCCCCGGTCAGAAACTTTAGGGTTGGTGCTTCCTGACCTCTGGCCCATAGAGGGAGCTCTAGATCTCTCTCACAGCATGCACACTGTATGCTCCTGTGCAGGCTTTACAGCCTGATGCACTGTGCAGACCCAGTGCACATGGTCTACACCAGGGGAGGGCTGGCATCCTCAGACCTGGGGGGCAAATCCAGTCAAGTGGCCCCTTGCACCCCCGAACCAGCTCACCATCCATGCCCACCTTTTCCTGTTTTTATAACAGATATTGATGTTATGCTAATCAGTAGCTCTTTGCCATACCCACTCCTTTGTGGCTCCTACTTTCAATGTTGTTAGAGAGCAGACTGAGAATCTCTGAGCCTGTGCTCTGACTCACTAACTAACCACAAGGGAGAGGATATGATCTAAGGCACCTACTGCTGGTGTGCACCAGTAGACCACTAGGGAATCATTTAAATTAAAGGGACACTCCAGTGCCAGGAAAACAAATTATTTTCCTGGCACATCAGGTTCCCTCTCCCTCCCACCCCCCCCATCAAATGTTGCTGAAGGGGTTAGAACCCCTTCAGTGACATACCTGAGACCTCTGCCCACGCTCCTCCTCCATTGACGACATCCGGCGGGGTAGACCGATTGCGCATGCGCGGCCGGCGGCGGGGGAGACCTCTCCATAGGCGGGGGAGATCTCCCCATAGGAAAGCATTGAAAATGCTTTCAATGCTTTCCTATGGGGGTTTCAGCGACACTGGAGGTCCTCACATAGCGTGAGGACGTCCAGCGACGCTACAGCACAGAAAACCAGTGCTATAAACCAGGAAGTGCCCTCTAGTAGCTGTCTAGTAGACAGCCACTAGAGGAGGAGTTAACCCTGCAATGTAAATATTGCAGTTTATGAAAACTGCAATATTTACAGTTGAAGGGTTAAGGGTAGTGGGAGTTGGCACCCAGACCACTCCAATGGGCAGAAGTGGTCTGGGTGCCTGGAGTGTCCCTTTAATGTGCTGGTGTCCCAAACTTGTGAGCTGTGTTGGCCACTGGGCGCCTCTGTTGTCATGGCACCCTACGTGACCCCACAGCTTGCACACCTCAAAGGCTGGCTCTGCTGACAGACACACTGGCACTCACTCTCAATAGCACACACACAAACCCTGGCAAACACTCACTGACAGGCAGACACAGACACACACACAAACCCTGACAGACAAACACTCACTGACAGGCAGACACAGACACATACACACACACACACACACACACACAAACCCTGACAGACAAACACTCACTGACAGGCAGACACACACACACACACACACACAAACCCTGACAGACAAACACTCACTGACAGGCAGACACACACACACACACACTTCCAGACACACATGCACACACTTCCAGACACACGCGTACACTTCCAGACAGACAGATACACACACTTACTGACAGACACACACTCACTTCCAGACACACACACACACACACACTCACTTCCAGACACACACACACACACACTCACTTCCAGACACACACACACACACAAATTCCTTGTTGCTCCTACCTTTAGGAGTCCTCTGGGTCCTTCCCTGGGGTCCGGTGACTTCCTGCTCCTCTCTGCTCCCTAGAGTGCTGTTTAGTGATGCGGGGCCGGAATGACGTCACCAGAGAGGGCGCACGAGGGAGCAGGAAGATCAGCAGAGGCAGTGCTCACTCGCCGCCGCCTGCCTCCTTCCTTCCTCACGTAGCCGGTATAGTCCTGCAGGGTAGGCACCTGCCATCTGGGACAAGCAGGTGCCTACTCTGCCTGGCTACCGGGGCGCCCAAGGTGGCCCTGCTCCGCGCAGCACCCCCCCTCCTCCTGGCGCCAGGGACCGGCCCTGCAGCGGCCTTTTTTTAAATTATTTAGGGCGGCCTGGGGGGCAATTGCCTCCCTGCCCCCCGGCCCAGCCCGCCTCTGGTCTACACTGACTAGGGGTGTAGACCAGATACCTCAACCATTGGGCCACCAGGAAAAATGATTCCTACCTGGCCCTCCCTCTCACATAGCAGCCCCTGCCTTCCCTCTCGCCCAGCAGCCCCTGCCCTCCCTCTCGACCAGCAGCTCCTGCCCTCCCTCTCACTTAGCAGCTCCTGGCCTCCCTCTCACTTAGCAGCCCATGCCCTCCCTCTCACTTAGCAGCCTCTGCCCTTCCTCCCACTTAGCAGCCCCTGCCCTCCCTCTTACGCAGCAGGCCCAGCCCCCCTCTTACCCAGCAGCCCCTGCCCCCCTCTTACCCAGCAGCCCCTGCCTCCCTCTCACACTGCAGCTCCTACCCCCCCAAACCCAGCAGCCCAGCCCCCTCACACCCACCAGCCCCTGTCTCCCCCTCTCACACCTAGCAGCCTGACTCAACTCCTAACCCATCCCCACCTTACCTGCTCCTCCTGCCCCCTCACCGAGCAGCACCTTTTCTCACCCACCAGCCTCATGCCCCCTTGTCACACTCTGCAGCCCCATGCCCCCTTGTCACACTCTGCAGCCCCATGACCCTGTCTCACACCCTGCAGCCCCATGCCCACTTCTCACACCCTGCAGCCAATCTCACACCCTGTAGCCCCATGCAGTGGGGGATTCATTTTTCGGGGAGGCACATGGAGGGCCAGTGACAAAAGTAGGGGGGCACATTTAACCCCGCCCTCGCCGCAGTTTGACCCCGCCCCTGTCGCATGTTAAGCCACGCCCCCGACACAATGTGTTTTTTTTTTTTAATAATACCTGGTGGAGGATTCATTATGTTCCACCAGGCATTATTAAAAAAACAAACACATTATCCTTGATACAGTGCCATAGTTGCCAACATTTGAAAAAAAATTCCAAGGACATTTTGCAGCACAGCTGTCAATTACTGTCTGGGTATAATATCCCTGGACAATCAGTGCTCTCTGTATAATACAGGGTTGTATGTATAATAAATTGGGACATTCAGTGCTCCCTGTATAGTGCTGCTCTCTGTATAATACAGGTCTGTTTGTGTATAATATCCCAAGACAGAGAGCAGCACTATACAGGAAGCACTGACTATCCCGGGATATTTTATGTGTGTATGGGGGGGCAGTGTGTGGGGCAATGTGTGTTTATGGGGGGCAGTGTGTGGGGCAATGTGTG